TCAAAGGAGAAGAGCAGAAGTGGAATGTGGGACCTTATCCAGAGAAGTAGCAACACCAGATATGGAGGCAGAGAAGAGGACATGAAGAGATAGAGCAGCTGAGGACTCTAGACATAAGAAAGAGAAAGGCTGTGTGCTGGAGGCCAGGAGGCAGACTTGAAGAATGTGCTCTTTGGTTTTTGAAATTATATATTCCTAAGTGATTTTGTGTACATCCCCCCAAAACAAAACTAAACAAAAACCCAGAAGGAACAGAAGTAAATACTGTTGAATGATGATGCATGGAGGAGATTGTAATCATCGCAATGAAATGATGAGTGTAAAACTGATGTTTTCCCAACTATCACTCAGTTCACAATAAAAACTTTAACATAAACGTTATTACTATGAAGGAAAAAAAAAGTGTCTAGATCTTGATGGAATTTACATTGAGAAATAAAGTTCATATTTTTTAAATTATTTTTAAATTTTAATTTCCCATGAATTTTTGAAGTCCATGTATATCTATAATGTTGTTGTTGTTAAGTGCTGTCAAGTTGGTTCCGACCCATAACGACCCTGTACAGGGTTTCCGAGGCTGTAAATCTTTACAGGAGCAGAAAGCCTCATCTTTCTCCCAAGGAATAGCTGGCAGTTCAAACTGCTGACCTTAAGATTCACAGCCCAATTCGTAACCACTACGCTACCAGAGCTCCTTAAATATATAATATATAACTATATGTCAAGAAATCATGGAAAATTGAATATATAAGTTGCTAAGTGCCTTCAATTCAGTTCCAATTCATAGCAACTCTGCATAGGGCTTATGAGAGGCATCTAGTGGGTTTGAACCACCTACCTTTCAGTGCAAACCAACCTTGTAGTCCAGTGTTTATCCTACAGTGCCACACCAGGATAAGTTTGTGAGGGGCTTCAAAAGGTTACTTTTAGATGTTCTTTGAGTTTGGGCAACAAAAATAAAGTTGATGGGGCAAGATTAAGGCTATAGGGTGAATGGGGAACATTTCCCAATTAAATTCTTACAGGGCTGTTCTTCCTATCCTCAAAGAATGAGCAGGTATAATTCTATGATGTAAAAAGTTATTTGGCACAACTTTCCTAGTCTTTTTCTTACCAAAGCATTTTTCACTTTCCTGCAAATTTTTTCCTGATAATTCCTTAGGATTGTCCTGTGTCCTTCAAGAAAAATCTATGAAGATTTACCCTTTGGAATTCCAAAGAACACTCACCTTCTGAGCTCACGTCCTTGAATTTAACTAGCCCAGCAGATCCTCTTGAAAGACAATGTGTTGAATGGATCTTGCTCTTTGGATTGTATTTGTAAATCTAAGACTAATCTCTAGTTATGATTAGTTCCATAAATTCATTTTATTAGCTTCAATCATGCTTAAAAATCTGATCTTTACACAACTCTTCTGGCACTCATGTAGCAAAATGTTGGCCAAGAGTTCAATTAAAGTTGACAATGCAGAACCATATTGCACTGTAGTGAATTATTTCAATATGTTTCCTCTAGCCATGTCTTTGTAACTCCGACCAAAATTACTTTTTCCTAATGGGTCTCAGTAAGAGACAATGGGAAAGATACTGGTAGGATTATACAATTCAGTAATGAGTGGCTGTTAACAGGGTTAGCTGTCATTATAAAAACTTGGAAATCAAACAAAGGGCCTAGTCAATTTTTTCATCCAGCTGTATATAAAATGACCCATCTTGGTGATGTGAGTGAACTGTGTTACCTTTGGCTTCACTAACCAACCTTGCCTTCATTTGACCTCTGGTTCTTGGGACCAAGTCAGAAGCCTGACCTGATTTGCCAGCTACCACCTTGGTCAATAGCCCGTTTGGCATGAGTTAGGAAAATCCTCCAGATTGACATCTGGAACTGAAGATTTGGGACTTGACAGCTTCCACAACCATGTGAGCTACTTCCTTGATAGCCTATGTGTCTGTGAGACCTTGTAGTGAATTGTGGAACCCTAGTATGTCGTCAAGTGTGACAGCGGTAGTGAGGTTGGCCCAGGATCAGACATTGTTTCATTCTGCTGTGCATGGGGTCGCTATGAGTCGGTTCCGATTTGATGGCACCTGACAACAACAACAACAACAAGTATGTCGAGGAGAATACTGAGGGGAGGAGCAGTGGTTGATATCAGGGACTATCGAGTAGTATAGCACTTTAGGAAACTCGGACATTTGGGATGTCTTTAACAGCTATCTCATAGGGACCAGTCTCATGCTGATCCTTCTAAAAGTTATTATTGTTGCACATGAGAAATTCTAAGTTCAGTAGCTATCACATCAGTGGAATTTCTAGGGTCTTCTTCCACCAGTTTCTGGACTTCACTCACAGTTTCTTTATTCACCAAGGTTTGTGGTTTTCCCTCTTTGGGATCATTTTTGAAGTGTCACTGAATTTCCATAAAATGCTTGTTTCATCTAAATCCTGTTGTTCTATTTTGGGCAGCATTCCCATAAACCTATTACAAAGTTTCAATAATTTGAGAAGATGGCTACTTGAATTTTGTTTAAAAACTGATATTACCCCTGACTTCAAAATCCTTTATTCTCCCATGACATGAAATGTATCCTCTTTTTAGAAGTCACCCTAACAAGACTAATACAAGCGTATTATTGAAAGAACTTGTCTGTAGTCATCCATTGATTGTACTGTTGTTGGTGCCATATCGAGTAGGTTCCAACTTATAGTAGCCCTATATAGGGTTTCTGAGGGATGGGTGGTTGGTTTGAACAACCAACTTTGCAGCTAGCAGTTCAATGCTTATCCTACAGTGACAGACATATTTAAACAATTTTTTGTTTGGACTAAACCCATGCATGTACATACTGGAACTCTAATAGCAATATTTTTAGATTTACCACTGTACATATTCATTGAAGGAATGTTTCATTATAGAAGGATTGAGTTTCTGAGGTAGAAGGGAAGAAGACAAACAAATATCCTGGAAGTACTTTACAGAAGAGAAAAAGTATACAAGCCCTGAGACTTCGGTAGGCTGGAGTGCTCGATTATTAACTAAGATGTCTTTGTATTTGGAAGAATTGAACTAGTGGCTCATTGGTAGAAGAGGAAGCCAGGGAAAATGCAAAGAAGATAGTCTTTTATCCCTGCAATGACAGTGTAAGAAGTTTGGCTTTTGTTCTGAATGAGATGGGAATGTTTAAACCAGTGGGTGACATGATCTCACATAATTTTAAAAGGATGCATTCTGGATATATCCAAAATTAATGGCTAACTAGATTTTCCAAGTTACCTAAACCATTAGAAATAGACATTGATAGGGATTCCACTACTAGGGAGTCTATTCAGACTCATAGCTATCCTTTGTAGAGTTTCTGAGGTTGAAAATCTTTATGGGAGCAGAACATCTTTCTGAGGTTGAAAATCTTTATGGGAGCAGCTATTGGATTCACACTGCCGACCTTGTGGTTCACAACCTAGTATGTAACCCACTATGCCACTAGGACACCTTATTTATAAGGATGCTGTTGCTAAGTTCTGTCAAGTCGGTTCCAACTCATAGTGACCCTGTATAGCTTTTCTGAGAAGTGACTAATGGGTTTGAACCACCGACCTTGTGGTTCACAGTCCAGTGTTTATCCTACAGCACCACATTAGGAGATAGGGATATGGGTGTGTAAAGGAGTGACAGGATTGACAGGCAACTGATAATCCAGAATTTACAAATTTAAAAAGACATTAAAAGGTAAGGGCAAATTTGCTTAACTCTGATTCTCTTCTTGCTCATCTTTCATAGAAGCATTTGCCTTTCCAAAGAGTTCCATGAAAGCCACTATACAGAATGGTTAAGGAAATCAATCATCTTAGATGCTGAGGTGGAGGAACAGAGACATGTCTTCAAAACTGCCACTGAAAGGCTTGGAACCAAGCCTCCTGAGTTTGCCCATAGAGGACTGGTACTTTTCCAATCAATCAATCAATGCTAAAGTAATGGAACAAGGCTGAAGGTTAAGTTTACCACACCTAAGACCACTGTTGGATGCCAGCCTGTGATCAGCCCAGACAGGAGATTGTGCTTTACCTTATCTTACAATTGAAATGCCTCACAGCCTGCATGTCCAGGCCTACTTCCAAGTGTTTGACATCTAGTCCTGCTAGATTACTGAGTGCTGTCCAGAATGAGTAAGCCCCAATGATACTACTTAATGTCTCATGTGTTCATGTGCCTGTGTGTGTTTAGGTCATCTGTCATTGTTATCTTTATGATGCTTATTAGACACTTAGGTTGAGAGTTTTAGTCAGTAGTTATTAGATACAGGAGAAGTTGAGATAGAAATATAAATATGGGAACAGGAAGTCATTTTTATTGGATTAATCTATGTGCTATGGAGAAGAAGTGGTTACAAGAGTCTTTAAAACTATTCAAGAATAGCCTAGGAGTAAACTATCACTGAAGATAGCTACAAGGTTAATGCTAAAATTACAACAAATGTATTGTTATGCAAACATTTTGCTTATTTGTTGTTGTTTTTAAGTGTCCTCGAGTTGGTTTCAACTCATAGCCACCCTGTATAGGTTTTCTGAGGAGGAGTTGGTGAGTTTGAACCGCCAACCTCGTAGTTCAAACGGCTTTGTAGTTCAAATGGCTTTGTAGTTCAAATGGTTTTGCAGCTTTGCAGTCTGGCACATTAACCCACAGCGCCACACCTGGACTCCTTTGTTTATTATAACCTATCAAATATAATGGAATTAAAGCTTAATTTCAAGCATTATTTCCCAATATTTTGCAGATGATGAGAAACAGACATAAGTGATTCAACCTGTTAACTATATTTGGAAAGATGCAAAGATTTACAACAATCTTTTCCAGGATTAACAGAATGGAGAAACAGAATAGAAATGAGTACATTTTGGAATATTTGTAAAAAAAAAAAAAAAAGAAATATTGACACTCTCTGCAATTTTCCCCATGTAAATAGCTTTGCTAACTCATGTGTGGGTAAATATTTTCTCTTACCAGAGTAGAGGGTACAGTCTAGAAATGACAGATCATCAATTGCAATGTCTCCAGTGAAGCCATCTCCCACTGAAGCCTCCACCAAAATCTAACAAAAGAAAAAAGAATTGTTGATATTTTTAAGAAAAAAAATTATGGAATCTCATATTTAAAAGGAATTTAAAAGTTATCTAAACTGAGCTTTTTCCAACACATGGAAAAATTACTTTGAAATAGTCTTTGTAAGTGGTCATCTTGCCTCAACCTGAATATTTCCAGTAAAAAGAAGCTTCTTGTCTCATTGAGCCAATAAAGTAAGTCCATTTTCTTTTCAGTAGGTTTTGCTTTTCTGAAATTTCAAAACATCAGATTGCTATCTACTTCCCTATGACTTCCAACCACTAATCCTATCCTTACTGTTTTCTTGTAATCTTTTAAGTATTTAAAGGCAAAGTATTGTCCCCTTTCCTTTATCTTTGCCTTTGTTTGAGCAGTGCATCCATCTTCAAGGATAAGCCTTCTCAGTTTTCTAGAAACCCAACTTGCTAACAGAGTTGCATACAAAGTTTTATATTTGTATGAATTTTAACATTTTTGTCACATGTACATTGTTTAGTAACACTTTGTGAAATTGACTAATCCTGATTAGATATCATTGAGAACCACATTAATCACAGTGAATGCATATGACATTTGTGCTTTCAGGAGCTGCAACTCTACCAAAGCGCCAATAAAATGTGAAATACTGGCAAACCATTGTAGTATATAGCAGATTATGATTAAGGTTAAGATTTCCTATATAGAATTAATCATGATGAATTATTTTAATACTTATGCAAATGCATTGCATATTTAATAGGAATCCCACAGAAATTTAATACTATAGAACTTTCAGCTGATGCACATAAACTTAGAAAACATTATTTTTCTACTTAATATGAGCATATATCTCCATTTTATTTTTCTTCCCATGCTTTATAAGTGAGAGTTGAAATTTTATTTTTCACACTGAATCCTCTATTGTCTCACACTGTGCCAGCTCCCACTATCAACCACTCTGATCAGGATCATCATGCTGGGCAAAGTAGAAGAAAAATGTAGAATAAATTTCAAAATCATACAGAAGGCCAGACTTACTGAGATTATGTAACCCCTGAGACTATGACCCTTAGACATCCTTCAAACCTGGAATTGAAACCACTTGCAGGGAATACCTTTCAGCCAAACAAACAGGTCTATAAAGTGAGCACTCCTCAGGAAAGTACTCATCAGAACAAGCAACCATATGAGGCAGAAAGGGTAGCTAGCATTTGCCCCAAATCAAAGTTCAGATGGCAACAAAGGATAAATAGAAACGGGGAACTCAGACAGGAAGTGGGAGATGTGCTGTAACATTGAAGGAATTGTAACTAATGTCACAAAACAAAATATGCACAAATTGTTAAATGGGGAACTAATTTGTTCTGTAAGCTTTTATCCAAATGGTTACATACAAACAAACAAAGAAAAATACTTTTTTTTTTTTTTTTTAATGTCTTTGTTGAAGGAAAGGAAGTTTTAGAAGGTCAAATTGCTGAATTCAAATCTCTTGCTATATTCCCCCAACTATCTAACCTAGTCTTCTTCAGTACTGCCAAGGAGCCCTGACTGGTGGCACTACAGAATAAGAATAGGTCTGCTAACCACATCATCCACAGTTCAAATCCACCAGCAATTCTGAGAGAGAAGGATGAGACTGTGCTCCCAGAAAGATTACAATCCTGGAAGCTAGTATTGTTGTAAGGTGCCATCAAGTCAGTACCAGCTCATAGTGACCTTATGCACAGCAGAACGAAACATTGCCGATCCTGGGCTAACCTTATTACTGTTGACACACTTGATTACATCGATGCTGCCACTTGGCCAATCCATCTTGTTGGGGGGTGGGGTGGGGTTCTTCCTCTTTTTCTCTGACCCTCCACCTTACCAAACATGATATCCTTCTCCAGCGACTGCTCCCTCCGGACAATATGTCCAAAGTATGAGAGACCAAGTTTGGCCATCCTGACCTTCAAGGAGCACTGTGACTGTACTTCTTCCAAAACGGCTCTATTGGTTCTTTTGGCAGCCCATGGCACTTTTAATATTCTCCTCCAGCACCAAAAACTCAAAAGCATCAATTCTTCTATGGTTTTCCTTATTCGCTGTCCAGCTTTCATATGCATATGAGGTTATAAAGGGTTGTGATTAGTGGGAAGTGACTCTGTGGCTGTTAGTTGGTTGAGGATTGCCAGGAGTATTTCCCAGATTCAAAATTATTAAAATTAGACAACTAAATAAAGAAAAATAGTCAAGCTTACACAAATAGTCTGATGAGTGGGCAAATATAGGCCATTTGATAATTGCTTGAGAAACATTTGATG